AAAGAGATTGCCGATAGACAGGCACAACTTATGTAGGAGGATTTGTGTAATCTGTTTGTATCTCCTGAGGTCAGTCTGTACTCATCCTCATCCACTAAAGAGCTCCGATCCTAAAGGTTTCCTCAGCAGTTTTAACCTATTTTTGTTCTGGCTCTCTTCCTGTTCAGCCTTTATTCAACTGTACATGACTCTATGACATCAGCACCGCTCTAGGCACCATTAAACAGTAAATGCAGGGAATTGTGGCGATACCCTACCAGGGAACAGGGTCATGATGCCTTGCATTAAGGCCTTGTTCACATAGTTACATAGCTACATAGTTAGTCAGGTAGGCACAAGTCCATCTAGTTCAATCAACAGAAAAAATAAATAGAAAACCTCCAACTACAGAAACCTACATCCACCCTTTTTGACCATCCTGGAATGGCCATTATCCGTAATTCCAGTCTTTCACAAAAGTCCCGTAGTTCTTCTGGGAACCTCAATCTAGCAGAGCGTCTGTCTTTCCATCCAATTAAACATGCTGGAAACCCCCAGCTATATCATAGGTTTTGTTTTTTCACCTGCTCCAATAGTGGTTTCAAGGATCTTCTCCTGGCCAATGTTTCTGGTGCTATATCTGCAAAGATTTGTAGATTTGTTTCCTCATATTTTGTCACTGGTATCCCTCCTATCCTCTTCCAAATGTTTGCCTTATGTTCATAGTAATCTCACGATCACATCTCTAGGGGTTTCATTTGCCACTCCATGGGGTTGTCCAACTCTTTCTACTCTGTTGATTTTCACTTGCTTTATTTCTAATCCGTCCAACATTGGATTAAACACTTTCCTCATCAGATCTTCTCCTTGGGGTACCTCTGGTAGACCCCGAATCCTCAAGTTGTTCCTCCTATCTCTGTTCTCTTGCTCTTCCATCTTATATAGCAATTTCTTTTGCTCCTGTCACATTTCTTCCAATTGCCTTTCCAGATTAGTTATTACTTGGACATGTTTATCCAATTTCTCCTCAGTTTCTTCCACTCATGATAATACTTGCCCCAGGTCTTTATGTATTACCACCATCTCATTCTTTATGGTATATTCTAATTTCGCAACTATTTCTGCTATTTCGGTTTTTGTAGGCATTTCTAGACTTTTTCCCTGTTCTTCAATATTTTAAATATCTTCCATCTTATATAGCAATTTCTTTTGCTCCTGTTGCATTTCTTCCAATTGCCTTTCCAGATTAGTTATTACTTGGACATGTTTATCCAATTTCTCCTCAGTTTTTTCCACCCGTGATAATACCTGCCCCAGGTCTTTATGTATTACCACCATCTCATTCTTTATGGTATGTTCTAATTTCGCAAATATTTCTGCTATTTTGTTTTTGTAGGCATTTCTAGACTTTTTCCCTGTTCTTCAATATTTTAAATATCCAGTTAATTTTCCATGTTTAAGCTTTCTTCCACTTGGCTCAGATTGGATACTCCCAATGACACTCTGGATTGCTCCCCAGTATTATTTTCTGTCATCCATCTTCCGCTTACCCCATGTTGTCTCTCTAGGGTATGACCCTCTGGACTTTTCTCATGTGGGGGCATATATTTTTAAATTGTACTTATATTTGTCTGGGGTGTTTTAGTCCCTCCTCCTTTTACAGGTTTGATCTTCATATCGTTGGTGTAATACTTCTGTCTTTATCAGTGCAGGCAAAATGTTATTTACACAACTTCAATAAGATTAGAATTGTGTTTTCCCTGCAGGTATTCCTATCTTTTCATCTGAGGTATATTAATACTAATTTGCAAAATAAAAATCCCCCTCCTATTTCCTCTTTCAGCCGTTCTTCTTTTCTTCTTCTTGTCTTTTCTGGACCCCTAGTTGACCCCTTCTGTAACTGCTTTTTCCTTTTAATGGTATTTGTCACTGACCACCTCCACTCCTTAACAATATTTATATAAACTATATTGGACTCATCTCTTCCCGTGGGGCCTCACGTACCATCTCCTCTCAGTCTTCCTCTCTTCACCGAATGCTGTTATCCGGGGTGCTAGACACTGAAAAGGCTCTCTGTCCTCCTTTCTGGGGTGGTCCAAGGTGGTCCAGATGGAGGGGGTCAACCTCCGTGGGGTGCAGGAGTCCCTATCAGATCTGGCCCTTCCCACATTGGCTCCTTCCTCTCCTGTCCAGCTGGCATCTCCCAGCATTCCTCCACGGCGACCACGTGGTCTCTCCCAGCATTCACAGCTCTATTCTCGGCCAGGATCCACCCTCTCCTCTGCTCTCTCCTCTGCCCAATGACCAATGCCTTCTTTTCGCTGGTGCCTGCTCCACATCACCACTCCAGGCTGGGGGCTCACTCAGGAACGGTAGGGTGGATATTCCTCACCTATCTTAAATTTCCTTCCTCATTATTCTAGGTGGTTCTCCGAAGCTCCTAGATCATGCACCCTGACGGTGCCATGTCCAAGCCCCTGTTCCCTCTTAAGGAAAATATGGAGATAGAAAAAGGTAGATTAGGCAATTAGTTCCTAAAAAGATGATGTAACAGAGATAAGATGAGAGATGTAGGGGAGGAGTGGAGGGGAAAATTATGAATTTAAGAGAAGCATAATCTATCTTCCTGAATTTATTTTTTCCTTCTAAATAGGTTGAGAGTTATAGAATCTAGGCGGTGGATGGTAGGTTAACATGTACTGGATTTGTGACCCAAGGATTAGGGTTAGGGGTTTGGACAGGCATATATGGTCAGAGTTCCACCCTAAAAATGGAAACGAAAGTGGGATTAGGACCACAAACGATTCCAAAGGCAAGAATAGGGCCAAAGGGTTGTAGCCTCCCTAGCGGTCTGATTATGCCCATATTTCTGTGCTCAAACGGTACATTTTTTTGCATGGAAATATGTAGTTTTTTTTATTGTAGGCCTGTAATTTTTAGGAATAATTCACTGAAATCTGGCCGAACAAGAGTCTAGTAAACATTCTGGGTATGTTAAAATTTGAAACACGAAATCATAAATTATAATTTAATAAATAATCATAAAAAAATAATAATATAATAATAATAACTTTAATTCAATATTATAATCAAATCAAAAACACTGAAATTTGAAATAGAGCGCCAAGTTTGCACATCACTGAGCAAAGTCGCAAAATTGTTTTCAGTGTTTGATGACGAATTTCCCCGCGAATCATTATCACTCAATTCTGCAAGTAGTTCTAATTTACTATCGCTGTTCTCTAGCTGGTCTAAAACCGCTTTTGATCTAAATGTATGTGAAATGGTTTGAAACAGTAATGTTTTACTATGTGATTTTAGTGAATTTAGTGATTGTAACTTCTACAATTTTCAAATTTCCCGCCAGTTCCATCCCTGTACAATTTTCAAATTTCCCACTAGTTTCCGTCCCTGTTACGCCCAGATGCCGGTATCGGCCGGAGGACATTGCCGGGGACACTGCAGCGAGGACATCGCAGGAGCGCAGGATAAGGTAAGTGAAGAAGAGATCCTGGAGCAGCACTGCAAGGTATTCCCGAGTGTAGCTTGGGGTTACCGATTGTGGTGCTGAAACTTTATCCTGAGCTACGTTCAGGAATACCTCCAGGGAGGTTAAGAGAGGTGGAAGGGATCCTGATTATAGATATCTGTACTTCTTTCAGGGTGAATTTAGAAGTTGAAGAGGAAAGAGGGAGAAGAAAAGAAGAGAAGTAAAAGAGGGAAGGGAGAACAAGAGAAAAAGAAGAAGGGGAAAGAAAAAGGGAAAGAGAAAGGATAATATACAAAGAAGGGAAGTGGTTAATTTCATGACCTATAATGTAAAAGGATTGAATATTCCAACTAAGAGGCATAAGATTCTAAGAGAATTACATCAATGTTCTATTGAAGTAACATTCTTACACATGTATCTCAAGATACAAATGTTAAGTTATATTCTAAAAGCTATCCATCTTGGTATTATGCAGATTCACCAACAAAATGTGCTAAAGGAGTAGCAATTGGTATAGCAAAGAATGTAAGATTTTATATTGAGGACAGGTGGGTGGATCCTGAAGGCCGATGTTTGTTCTTGAGAGGAAAATTAAAGGAAATGGAATATACATTAGCAAATATTGATTGCACTAACAAAAAAACAATAGCTTATCTGGAGAACATTTTAAGAAAACTTTTGGATTTTAAGAAGGGTAAACTAATTGTGGCAGGTGATTTTAATTTTGGTATGGATCCCTGGATGGATAAATCGTCACGTGTACAGAGGTGTTGTCTTCTATTAATTATGTGGATGGATGACGATGACGAGTGTGCATATTTATAAAATGTACTTTTCCCGCAGCAACTAGTCCAACAGCTCTTTTCCAGAGAGATGCTTTTATTCGGATACAGATATTTGCAACAGATGACAGAAATCCATACTTGTAAATATTACAATGATAGTTCATATCAAACATCGAGATAATACACCGTCCAGTATATGTCCAATCTATAATATGCACCTAGGTAGCTTCCATGCTTGCAATAATGCAAGTTATGATCTATACCTGTGCTTCAATATTAATGAAAGGAAGAAGTTCCTCTCCCAGCCAAAATAATTTCCCTAGAAATACAGTTTACTGGAGGGGTTCCTGATTGACTGACAAAACACTTTTGCTCTTACATGAAAAAGATTTCACTTGTCATTACTATAGATAACAATTAAGGTCACTATAGTGTTTGCCAGGTAATCAAGTCATCCTTTCACCATATAATACCCCCTCAAGTCTAATTACCATCAATAAATACTTCTTGTATTGTCAAATCACATTCTTTATCATCCTTAACTGCCTCCCACCGGTCATATAAGGTAATGACGGGCGCAAGGCGGTTCTCTCGTTCTGGGAGGACGTCATATGACGTCCTCCCACTCTAACCGCCCGTGAGCAGCTCCAGGAGCATGCAGCGTGGCGATCGGTAGTGTGCTGTGTCCCTTGGACACAGCGGATCACCGATCAATGGAAAGACCCGAAGATGTTGGCTCGGTCATGTGATCAGCAGTGTCCAATCACAGCTGGTCGCATGTAAATAAGGAAATGCCGGTTATCAGAATTTCTATTCTCACGAGCTGTCACACATTCCTCAGATGGGACGTGTACACTGATCATCAGGGCACTGATGATCAGTTTGCCCTGATGACCAGTGTAGCCCCAGCAGTGTCACCTGTCAGTGTCCATCAATGCCACCTGCCAGTGCCCATCAGTGCCACATCAATGCCACATATCATGCCCATCTGAGCTGCCTTTCAGTGTCACCTATCAGTGCCAGTCAGTGCCACCTATCAATGCCAGTCAGTGCCACCTATCAGTGCTGCCTATCAGTGCCGCCTATCAGTGTGTGTCAGTGCTGCCTATCAGTGCGCGTCAGTGCTGCCTAACAGTGCCAGTCAGTGCCACCTAACAGTGCCATATATGAGTGCTGCCTTTCAGTACCCATCAGTGATGCCTGTCAATGCCCATCAGTGCTACCTACTAGTGCCTCCTCATCAGTGCCCATCAGTGCCACCTATCAGTGCCCATCAGTGCAGCCTGTCAGTGCCCATCACTTCAGCCTCATTAGCGCTCATCGGTGAAGGAGAAAAATCACTTATTTACAAAGTTTTATAACAAAAACTAAGAAAAAAACTTTTTTTTTCAAATTTTTCAGTTATTTTTGGTTTGTTTAGCAAAAAATAAAAAAACCCAGAGGTGATTACATACCACCAAAAGAAAGCTCTATCTGTCTCAAAAAATTGATAAAAATTTCATATGGGTACAGTCTTGCATGACCGCTCAATTGTCATTCAAAGTGCGACAGCACTGAAAGCTGAAAACTGGCCTGGGCAGGAAGGGGGTATAAGTGCCCTGTAGGCAAGGGATTAAACATGTAAACAATGTACCCTTTGAAATGTCTAATTAGAACAGGCTATTCCCCAAATACCAAGGTGACCTTACATAAAATTAACATAGCAAGGAGTTCTTTTGATGTGTAAAGTGGTCTTATCACTGGCCTGTCCAAGAATGAATATTATGTGTTTCAATATCTTCAATATATATATATATATATATATATATATATATATAAAAAAATATATATATACACATATACACACACACACACATATATATATATATATACATATACACACACATATATATATATATATATATATATATACAGTGAAGGAGATATGTATTTGATCCCCTGCTAAGTTTGAATGTTTGCCCACTCACAAAGAAATGATCAGTCTAAAAATCGAATGGTAGGTGTATTGTAACACTGAGAGACAGAATAGCAGCAAAAAAAAAATAAATGCATGTCTACCACATTATGCACTGATTTGCATGTTCATGAGGGAAATAAGTATCTGATCCTCTGTCATAGTATAGAACAGAAAATAATCCAAAAAAGAGATTAGCTAAATTAATTACTGGAACAAGAAACGTTTAACAGGATGGCAAAAGAAAGTTATCAGTGGGGGAATAGACCAGGAAAATATTTAATGAGAACGATAAGAAAAAAGAATCAAGGAATTTTATAGAGAAAATGAAAGATGACTCCAGAGAAATGGCATATTCAACCACTGATTTTGCTAGTGCATTCCATAAATCTAAAAGAGGAGGGGGCAGAAAGTATTAGAAAAAAGGAAATATATTTAAAGGAAGCGAGATTACTGAGATTGGGAGAAGAAAGTTTAGTAAATTTGGAGGGGCTAATAACGCAGGAAGAAATTCAAGTGGTATTGAAGAGCACAGTGGCAGGGAGGAGTCCTGGACCAGATGGTTATACAGTGAGATATTAAAAGAAATTCAATGAACCAGTAGTACCTAAAATGTGTGTACATATGAATGCATTAGGTGAGGGGGTGGAAATGAGGGAGGAGTCATTGCAGGTATGTTTTCTATCAGGTACAGGCCAGTCAAGTTCTTCGAACCCAAACTCGCTCATCCATGTTTTTATGGACCTTGCTTTGTGCACTGGTGTGCAGTCATGCAGTAACAGGAAGGGGACATCCCCAAACTGTTTCAACAAAGTTGGGAGCATGAAATTGTCCAAAATGTCTTGGTATGCTGACACCTTAAGAGTTCCCTTCACTGGAACTAAGAGGCCAAGCCCAACCCCTGAAAAACAACCCCACACCATGATCTGCCCACCACCAAACTTTACACTTGGTACAATGCAGTCAGGCAAGTACCGTTCTCCTAGCAAACACCAAACCCAGACATGTCCATCGGATTGCCAGACAGAGAAGCGGGATTCATTACTCCAGAGAACACATCCCCACTGCTCTAGAGTCCAGTGGTGGCGTGCTTTACACCACTGCACCCTACGCTTTGCATTGCACTTGGTGATGTGAGGCTTGGATGCAGCTGCTCGGCCATAAAACCCATTCCATGGGGCTTTCTATGCACTGTTGCTGAGCTAATCATGAATGCCACACGAAGTTTGGAGGTCTTTAGCTATTGACTCTGCAGACAGTTGGGCCCTGATTCACTATTGGGCTTGGGCGCATATTTATGGGCTTAAGCCCAATTTTCATGGGGCGTCCGTCATTTTTTTACCCTGCAACCTAATTCACTATTGACCAGAGCCCATAAGCAGATGCCCAATCTAATTCACAAAGAGACACACGCCCGAAATCAGACTCACAAAACAGACTTGCTAAGAAGCAAGTCTAAAACCATGAAAAATCACTGCAGAGACATGTTCACTTAGAAATTTGCTTTGCCAAATATCAGGACTTCACTTTAAACAATATCTGCTATTTCAAAAAAAATTAAGAATGTGTTAAAAATCGTTTTTTTGAAGGAAATCGACACAGTAAAAATCTAGACGCCCGTGCAGTGTCTTTGGCAGATACAACTGAGCATGTGCAGAACACATTTTAGACTTCTGCCATGGGCGTTTGCTTTTTAGCCACTGACTAATAGTGAATCTGATTGTGGATTCCTCTGAGAGCCGGCAGCCGGCACTCGCTCGCGTCTATTGTGTTTAATAAACAGCACTCGGCATATCTTCATGTAATCTAACTAGATTTCCTTAGTTTCTAGTGATTCTATTTTTGTTTCTTATCCTTTATAATTATTTCTGTAATGATTTTACTTATTTCAAAGGTCTAGATAATATTTATTTTGGGTCCCCCCTCTCATCCTTACCAAGCCCTTCGGATCTGGTATGGATATTAAGGGGGAACTCCACGCTGAAATTTTAAAAAAAAACAGCGTGGGGTCCCCCTCAATATCCATACCAGACCCTTATCCGAGGCATGCAGGCCCGGCAGGTCAGGAAAGGGGGGGGACGAGTGAGGCCCCCCCCTCCTGAACCATACAGGCCACATGCCCTCAACATGGGGGGGGTGCTTTGAGGGGGGGGGCCCCCCCCCAAAGCACCTTGTCCCCATGTTGCCCCCCCCCATCCTAAAAAGAAGTCAATACCCTTTCTTCACAAGGGGGAACCCTCGGACGGGAGGGGAACTTTTTTTTTTTTTTTTTTGGGTCCCTGCCGCCGGGGATTGACTTTGGATCTACTTCGGGGGACATTGTTTTAAAAAAGGATTTGTAAAGACTGTACTGGTTTTTTTTACACCCACTTTTTTTTTTGTGAAGGTCTGCGGGACCCCCTTTCCCCAGACTCATTTACGAGGGGGGGGGCCGGGTCTGGGGGGGCCCCCCTTTTTAAAGGGGGTTCCAGATTTGATAACCCCCCCCCCCGCAGACCCCCACAACCCCCCGGCCCCGGTTGTGGGGAAGGCCCTTTTCTCAAACATGGGGACAAGGTGTTTGGGGGGGGCCCCCCCGCCCCCAAAACCCCCCCCATGTTGGGGCATGTGGCCCGGTTTTGGTCAGGAGGGGGGGGGCGCCCCGCTCTCCCCCCCTTTTCCCGACCGCCGGGCTGCCCTGCTCGGATAAGGGTTTTGGTATGGTATTGAGGGGGGGCCCGTGTTTTTTTTTTTAAAATTTCAGCGGAGTTCCCCCTTAATTTCCCTCCAATCCAAAAAGGGGTTTGGGACTTTTGGGGGGGGGACCACCTTTTTTTTTTATTATTTTGCATAAAGGAAAATTTTTTTACATTCAGCGTCAGTGGGGAAACCCCCCTGACAGCTGAAACTTAAACCCCGGCTGTCGCTTCTAAAATCCCGATGATTTTGTTTTAACTCATGCGGGGTTTTTAGTAGTGAAAAACCAAGCAGGCTCATGTTTTTAGCTGTCGGGGGAGTTCCCACTGACAGTTGAAGTCAAATTTTTGCAGGGGATTTAAAACAGTTTTTTAAAAAAAACCGGGGTTTGGGGCCCCCCTCCATCCAACTAAGCCCTTGGGTTGTTGGATGTTTAAGGGGGAACTCCACGCTAAAAATTTAAATAAAAAAAAGATGGGGTACCCCCAAAAACCATAACACTACTTATCCGAGCATGCAGCCCGGGAGGTGGAAAGGGGGGGGGGGGGAGCGGCCCTCCCCCCTCTGAACCCCTACCAGCCCTGCCCATACCAAATTATTCCAAAA